TTTTTTTTTTTGTTAAATGACAGTTAATCAGTGGTTTTATGAAATAATTAAGATAAGCATGTGAACGTACCAGGTAATGCTGAAAAAAATTTGAAAAGTCGAGTCGTTTTTTTTTTTTGCTGTCTAGCCCCTTCTTCCAATTTTTGTGGAACTCTTGAAATTTTTTTTTCATGTCTTCACTTAGGTCGTATAATGGAAAAAATTGATCGGTTTATGGTAGAGTGAAGTAATACATATTTGAAAAGTAGAAGTATCATTAAGGAACGGACAGTCAATGGAAAAGCATAAAAAATGGTTGTGATTGTTTTTTGTGATTTGTGTTGGTTAATTAGAGCTTCTGAACAGTTAACTACCGTTGTTGTTGTAAGATGTCGTTGTTGTCATCGTTATCTTTGTCTTCACCAACTTACATCATTGTATCATTGTCGTCAAATTTCGTCAATATCATTGTCGTCAATGTTCGTTAGTTGAAAAAAAGGCTCTTTTTAGCGCGTAATATTTGCTGCAGTATTGTAGGCCAAAATGGATTTGTTAGACAGAGGTGTTATAAAATTTTTAGGTAGATAATAGGGGTACTTTTTAAGCCAGAAAAACAATTTGCACTTTTTTTTTTTTACTTTTCTAACACTTTGTTTGACCTGCAGTAGAAACGGCATCCAGCATCAGCAATAGTAATAATAACAATAGCCCTAAGAAAGTCAGTTAGATCACGCCGGAATTGTCTGAAAAAGCTAAACTTGGGTTTGTCGAAAGTGCAGACAAGTGTTGAAAAAAAAAAAAACAACGGAAAGAAAAACTTCCTTATTTTATGTCTGCCCTTTTTTTTTTTTTTTCATTATAAAGTCTCTGTCCGTTTGACAGCATTTTTTTTTTTTTTTTTTTTTGTCCTTCTTGAATAATTTCATCTGTCAAGAAGGAAACGAAAAAAATAGAGTAGACAATGTGTTGCTGTTTTTTTTTTCCACATAAATTATATTTATTTTCTTGTTTCAATTTTTCCTTGCCTTATTGTTGTTGTTGGATGAGATAGATATTTGCCAGGTTTTTTAACAGTTGAATACAACTGTTACACAGAATTGAAAAAATAAAAGGCGGAAAGAAGGAATAATTTTTTTTTCTACTTTTTGCAGCAATACTTATGAATAAATGCTTCAGAGGAAGAAAACAAAAAGAGTTATTTGCAGATTATATGCTTCTTTTTTTTTTCCAATACAATATTTGTTTAACTAAATTTTAACCGTATAATTGTATTTTTAACTGTAGCGAAATTGCAGTTTTATTATTCTTTTGAGGAAATTTGAAGTTTGAAAACGAAAAGTCTAAAAAATTGTCTGCTGATTGTGCAACTTTATGTCTCCCATCTTTTTCTTGTATTACGCTGTTATATGTATTATTAGTTTTGTTATTGTTGGCGAATAAACAAGCGGAAAAAAAAAAGGAAAAAAGAATTTAGCTATACATAAAAAAATTCAGACAGTTTCTTATTCGAACGATAATTACTAAGTGATTTAGACAAGCGTGGGAGAAAGAAATATTAAATAGCTGAGCAAGAAAGAAATTGAGAGATTAAAGCTTAATAAATAAATTGAGGAAATAGTTTGATTTCTTTCCGTTTTGTTTTTCACGGACCTGTCTGTATTGATGGATTATATGTTGTTATTTATTGTAATTATTTATTGTTGCTATTATTTTTTTAATATTTCAATTATACTATTAATTTCAACACCCAAGATATTAATTTAATTTATTGTTATTGTTGAACAGAAAGAAAAAATGTGCTATTTTATTACTGGCATTATGCTTATGCTTCATTTACAGATTGATCTAGACGACTTTTTATATAATCCACAAATTGGAGGAAGTCTGGACACTGACTATAGTGGTATGTCATACAGGGCAAACGGTGGCACATATCCTCCTGGTCCATCGGCTGTCAATATGGTACACTTTTTCAGAGCATAGTTTTACCAGCTTTTCATTATCATTCAACAGAGCGTTTACTGCAGATGTGTGTCTGCGTCTGTATTTGTGTTGTTCATTTGTTTTCTAAACATGATTTTTTTGTTCCGTGTTAAGGTAAAGAAATGTGAATTTAAAACTGAAAATTTAAAATTATTAAGTTCAATTTAAAAAAAAGGAGAAATGAAAGGAAGAGTATGATAATTCAATGACAAAGCATAACCTCTTTCCTCTCCCCCCTCCTACCCCTCCC